CCTCCAGAGGCAGGTAACAGCCTGTTTCTCTACTTCTGGTGGGCCCAGAAGGCCCAAAAATCAGCTGGCTGGTGCGCACATGCACACCAGAGCGTTTCAACGAAGTCTCATTCATCATCTTCAGGCTGGTGTTTTCAGAGCCGAAAACACCAGCCTAAAGATGACGAATGAGACTTCGTCGAAACGTCACCAAGACACTTCCAATTCTACGTGGGAGAAAACCCGAAGAACCAAAGACCTACATACAAACACCCGCGAAAACCTCAGAAAACATTATATATATTATGTGTATATATATGTGTATGTGTATGTGTGTGTGTATATATATATATATATATATATATATATATATATACATACACACACATACACTGTACATATGTTATATATAGGTAGACTCCAATTTAAAATCATTTATTTAGTGACCGAAGTCACACCAGCAGTGAAAAAACAGACTTATGACCACTTTTCACACTTACAACCGTTGGAGCATCTCCAGAGTCAGGTGATCAAAAGGCAGCTAACTCATACTTATGACGGTCGCAGTGTCCCAGGGTCACGTGACCCCATTTTGAGACCTTCTGACAAGCAAAGTCGATGGGGAAGCCGGATTCACTTAACATCTGGGCTACTAATGTCACAACTGCAGTGCTTCCACTTCACAACTCTGCAAGGAAGGTTGCAAAACACGGCAAAATTCACTTAACAACTGTCTCGCTTAGCAACAGAAATGTTGGGCTCAATTGTGGTCGTGAGTTGAGAATGACTTACTGTGTCGTCCCCCCGACCCTTAGAAGGGAAAATGGAAGTGTGGATTATCCTTTAGTTCAGGGGTCTCCAATCATGGCAGTTTTAAGGCTGGTGGACTTCAACTCCCAGAATTCCCCAGCCAGCTTTACTTTTGGATTTATTTGTGACTTAATTCAAGCTTTGCTGGCTGGGGAATTCTGGGAGTTGAAGTCCGCCAGGCTTAAAGCTGCCAAGGTTGGAGACCCCTGCTTTAGTTCTTTTGCAGCCAAATGTGAAGACAAGGACCCCCCCTCAAATCCATGTCTCCCTCCCCTCTCCCCCCCTTCCCGCCCCCTATTTTATTTACCTCTTAAAGCCAGTTCATGCAGGTCAGCGACCACGTGGGACCCCTGGGAGGACAAGACCAGGCAAGGGAGCACTCAGACGTCTCAGTGGGATCTGCGAGAGAAAGAAGCTTCTTTGCAGTCGCCATTTTCACGGTTTTGCTTTGGTCAAAAGTCCCACCGCTTATAAAAAGAGAAATTTTATTTATTTATTTATTTATTTATTTATTGAATATCTATAAACAGTAAATAATAAATTGAGTCAACTTGGTGTATCTGCTAAGACCTTGGCATAGAATTTAGATGTTTATGCTAGCCCTGCTTGTTGAAACAGAAAGGTCTTCAGGGCACGTCGGAAAGTGCGAAGATCTGGGATTATTCGTATTCCAGGGGGTATTTTGTTCCAAAGAGTAGGTGCCCCCACAGAGAAGGGTCTCTCCCTTGGAACTACTAGACGACATTGTTTTAATGATGGTACTATGAGTAGGCCTACTCTGTGAGAGCGTATTGGTTGGTGGGAGGTTATCGGTTGCAGCAGGTGGTCTTGTAAGTACTCAGGTCCTAAACCATGGAGCACTTTAAAGGTAAGAACCAACACCTTGAAGCGCACTCGGAAGGCCATCGGAAGCCAGTGCAGCTCGCGTAGAAGAGGTGTTACATGTGAGCGCCATGTTGCTCCCATAATTACTCGCGCGGCCGCATTCTGGACTAGTTGGAGCTCCCGGATGCACTTCAAGGGGAGCCCCATGTAGAGAGCATTGCAGTAGTCAAGTTGGGAAATGACGAGGGCTTGAGTGACTGTGCGTAATGAGTCCTGGTCTAGAAAGGGACGCAATTGGCGATTCAGGTGAACCTGATAGAAAGCTCCTCTGGCCACAGCTGTTATATGATCTTCTAAAGACAGTCGTGCATCCAGGAGGATGCCTAAATTGCGAGCTTTCTCTGCGGGAGTCAATGATTCATCCCCAATAGTTAGTGATGGGACTAACTGGCTGTACCGGGACGCCGACAGCCACAGCCACTCAGTCTTGGAAGGGTTGAGTCGAAGCCTGTTTCTCCCCATCCAGACCTGTACGGCCTCAAGGCACCGGGACATCACTTCAAGGGCATCATTGGGGTGGTTTGTGGTGGAGATGTACAACTGAGTGTCATCAGCATACAGATGACATCGCACCCCAAAACCACAGATGATCTCACCCAACGGCTTCACATAAATGTTGAACAGGAGAGGCGAGAGGACTGACCCCTGTGGCACCCCGCAAGTAAGGAGCCTTGAGGTCGATCTCTGTCCACCTATCAACACTGACTGCGACCTGTCAGAGAGGTAGGATGAGAACCACCGTAATACAGTGCCTCCCACTCCCAGCCCCTCCAACCGGTGCAGCATGATACCATGATCAATGGTATCAAAAGCCGCTAAGAGATCTAATAGGACCAGGATAGAGGAACATCCCCTATTCTGAGCCCTCCAGAGATCATCAACCAACGCGACCAATGCTGTTTCTTTGCTGTATCCAGGCCTGAAGCCGGACTGGAACGAGTCTAGATAGACAGCTTCATCCAGGTACTCCGGGAGCTGTCGTGCCACCACACTTTCGACAACCTTCGCTAAAAAGCGAAGGTTGGAGACTGGACGGTAGTTAAAACAGCCGGATCCAGAGAGGGCTTCTTAAGGAGGGGTCTCACCACCGTCTCTTTCAAGGTGGGAGGTAAGAATCCCTCGCTCAGAGAAGCGTTAATAATTCTCTGGAGCCAGCTACGTGTAACCTCCCGGGTAGCCAGCACTAGCCAGGATGGGCACGGGTCCAATAAACATGTGGTCGCATTCAGCTTCCCCAGTAACCTGTCCACGTCCTCAGGAGTCACAGTATCAAACTCATCCCAGATAATGTCCTCAAGATCTGCCCTCGTCATTTCATCCGAATTAACCCAGTTAAGAGTCCAAGCCTTCCCGAATCTGAGCGATTTTATCATGCAGATATTGTGCAAAATCCTCAGCTCGTCCTTGCAGAGGGTCTTCCCGGGCTCTCACCTGGAGTAGAGAGCGGGTAACCCTAAACAAGGCGGCGGGGCGATTATCTGCCAATGCAATAAGAGCAGAAAAATAGTTACATTTTGCCGCTTTTATCACCACTAAGTAGGTCTTAATATAAGATCTCACTAGTGTTCGGTCGGATTCGGAACGGCTGGCCCTCCAACCGCTCTCTAGGCGTCTTTTCCGGCGTTTCATCCCCCTCAGCTCATCAGAGAACTAAGGAGCTGGGTAGGTTTGACGCCGGGTCAAAGGCCGCAAAGGCACGACCCGGTCTAAAGCACCTGCGGCCATCCTATCCCAGGACGCCACTAGGTCTTCAGCCGAGTCATGAGCCAAGGTCTCAGGAAATGGCCCAAGCTCCATCCGGAACCTATCAGGATCCATCAGGCACCTGGGGCGGAACCATTTAATTGATTCTACTTCCCTGCGGTGGGTTGTAGTGGTCAGAAGGTCAAGCTTAAGGAGAGAATGGTCTGACCATGACAAGGGTTCGATGACCATATCCCCTATATCTAGACCATTCAGCCATTGGTCAGAGATAGATCAAATCCAGAGCGTGTCCCCCCATGTGAGTAGGGCCATGAACTAATTGGGTCAGGTCCATGGCCGTCATGGAAGCCATAAACTCCCGAGCCCCTTCAGACGTTTCACCAATGGATGGCAGGTTGAAATCTCCCATAATCAGTAGCTTAGGAGTCTCAACTGCCACCTCGGCTATTACGTTGAGGAGCTCAGGCAGGGCTGCTGATACGTGGCAGGGAGCCAGGTACGCAATCAACAGGCCCATCTGTAACCTTATACAGATACAGTCCCCGATTTTCAACCGTTCATTTAGTGACTGTCCAAAGTTACCACTGCACTGGAAAAAGTGGTTTATGATAGATCCTCCAAGTTACGACCGTCACAGCTTCCCCCCCCCCCGGTGGTCACGTGATCAGAATTTGGGCCGGTGTTTAGGACAGGTGCAGCCTCCTGGGGTCTCGTGATCGCCACCTTCCAACATCCCAGGGGGCTTCCAACAACTAAGGCCAAGGAGGGAAGGGCATCGCAAAAAAGGTCATAAAATTCACCCTGCTTTGCTTAGCGACAGAAATTCTGGTTCCCCTTGTGGCCATAAGTTTAGGACTACCTCTAACACGTAGCAACAGAGTTGCTTTGAAATGGGATGGACAGCAAATAAATTTAATAAAGAAATAAAAAAAAATAAAGAAATAACCATCTGTTCCTGAGATGCCCTTTATGCCCAGAGGTTTCCCTTATCCCTCGCCTCTTGGGGGAAACCCGGGGCATGGGGCGGTGTCAGAGAAAGGGGCAGGGAGACAGGAGCCCCCACCCCCTGCAGGGAGACTACCCTCCCCACGCCATCCATCAATTTCTGGGGTGCCCTTTTTCCCTGGTTCTCAGAGGGAGACTCTACCCAGATCCCCAAATCAACCATAAGTACTTTCAAGCCAACCAACCAGGCAGATCTGGGGACCGGGAAGGAATCCAGGCAGATGCAGAGGCCAATCTTTAGAAAGCCCCAGGCCCCAATGGCCGTAGGGTCTCCCCAAATCTTCTATCCACGGAGGCTGGAGACATGCAGTCCCCCCACAGTTGGAGGGAGCTGGGTTGGGATCAGGCCAGCCCCAAAGGCAGAAATTACTCTGCTCTGTCCTGAAGGACTCCCTGGATGCCCCCCCCGCCGCCCAGCCCTGCCCAGGTTACTAAGCCACCTCATCTGTGACATCAGCACCCGCCACCAGCAGCAGGAGCAAAGGAAGGGAGCCTGGTTTTCAGAGAAGTCGTCCCCCAAGCTGTGCCCCAAAAGTGCCCTCCTGGTGCTGCTGCTTTCTTCTCCTGCCTGAGATGCACCTCAGGCAGTTTAAGGCCAGGCTCGGCTGCCCGGGATTGAAAGCAATCTGTCCAGGGCAGGAAATCAGAAGATCCAGGCGGTGCAAATGGGTGTAAGGTTGATTTCTAGTTCAAGCTCTCGACAAGAATCTGGCCAACTAACGGTCAAAGCAAACTGGCGGCAGATAAGAGTCAACGGAACTCAAGGTGGGCTGGACTTAGATCTCTTGTGGGCGCCAAGGGACTCGAGACTGGTGACTCGCTTGACCTCTGCCTCCCCCCCTCTCTTCAGCTCAGCCTGGTCCTCTCCTACACAGCCTCCTTAGTGGGTGAGGTGACCCAGGATCTGGCCAGGACAAGAGAGGCCCAGGCCAACCTCACGAGTTCCTCAAGGGGCAGCAGGCGCATCTGCTTCTCAGTCCCTTTCCTTGGCTCAAGTCTTAGGGGCCCTACGATACAGAGGTGCCCTCCATACTCTGCTACCCAGAAGGTCAACTTCAATAGGAGAGGCACTGCCCACCAGCCAGTAACACTGGACGCATTACACGTTTTTCTGCTTCTACCAACAAGGAGCTTCGCACAAGGATGCTTTTTACTGTTTTCAGACTTCAGGAGAATTTTAAATTTCAAGACAATTTCAAATTTCAGGAGAAATTTCCCCACTGTGAGAAGAGTTAATTAACTGTTAATTAACTTTGGGGTTGCCTCTCAAAGTTATGGCTGCTCCATCACTGGAGGTTTTCAAGAAGAGACTGGACAGCCATTTGTCCAGCATAGTATAAGATCTTTTGCCTCAGGCAGGGGGTTGGGCTAGAAGACCTCTAGGGTCCCTTCCAGTCCTAGAATTCTGTTTCTATAAATTGGGTTGGAGATGAGGAACCAGTCTCCAATCCTCAGGTACCAATGCAGGGAAACACCATCCGTGACAAAAAATTGCCATTTCACACATTCAAACCTGTCACGTGTTTGGTTACTATTTACAGAGTCTTCCGCTTTTCCTTGTACTTCTTGATCATAAAGATCACCCCGCTTGTGGCTTTTCAAACATGGAGGATGCAGAAAATTGCCCACAGACCACAGCATGCCACGCCAGGTCACAAGCACGGATGGTGTCTGGTATGACAACCAGGGTGTATCATGTGCACCCCACTTTCCCAGCAGAGCTTGCAGAAGGGAGACCTGGAGGAAACGCGGCAGGCACAGAGGGCCCCCCCCCAAGTTTGCTGCAGACCTTCTCCAGATGTTCAAAAAGAGCAGCCCAGCTCTGGATCCAGCCACCAGCAGCCACACCATCCAGGCAGCCATTACTGTCCTTCTGGAGCTCAGCTTGAAATCAGAGACCCAGCCACACTCCTGCAGCCGATGGGGAGAGGACCTGCGAGGGGGAAGAATGACTTCCTGCTTGGCAAAGCCGTCTCTCAAGGGAAGGTAAAGAAGCAGGAGAACCCCTGATCAGGGCTACGGGAAACGTGGCCTGTCGCCAAAGGGGAGAAAGGGATGAAAATCCAATCCAAATTTCTTACATTGGTTTTGTTTCTAAGCAGCTGATGCTTGGGAGCCAAGCAGCCAAAGGCTGAGGTCTCCAAACAGATTCCAAGCTCCTTTGGCACCCTGGATCTTCCTGCATCTGTCTGTCCACCTATCTTCTATTTACTTATCCATACTCACCTGTCTGTCTGTCTGTCCATCCATCCAACTATTGTTTTACTCATCCATCCATCCATCTTCCATCTGTCCATCTGGATCTGTCCTTTCCATCCTCTCTCCCCGCTTATGAGGGGTCCTCGGTGCTCTCTGAGCTTGGTTGTTTTCTTGCAGATGTTTCATTATCCAAACTAGGCAGGAGTGGGTTCTACTTACCTTTACTACCGGTTCACAACGGGACCGCACGTGTGTTGGCGCTTCTGCGCATGCACAGGAACTTCCTAATCATGTGGGGGTCGGTGGGTGGAGCCTTCCGCCGGTTTTACTACCGGTTCTTGCGAACTGGTCTGAACCGGGGGCAACCCACCACTAAAACTAGGTAACATCACCTAGCACTGATGATGTTACCTAGTTGGGTCATGAAACATCTGCAGGAAAACAACCAAGCTCAGCACTGAGGACCCCTTATTTCAATCTGGAGCTACAAATATTCTCCTCTCTCTGTCTGTCTGTCTGTCTAGCTGTCTGTCTATCTCATTTATTTATTTATCTATCTACCTCTATCTACCTACCTACCTGTCAAATTTACATGGCATCAGGCATGTAAGCAAGGCCCAGCAGGCAGCCTTGCCATTTCCAGAGAAGCTGCCCTGGTGGGGCTATCCGGGCACCACGGGTGGGACTGCTTCCTTGTGGTGCTGCTGGCCCTTCCAGCTTCTTCTTGTCTTTTCAGGGAGGGGGCACAAAATAACTTTTCCAGACTAAGTTGGGACTGAAGTTTGGGGGGGGGAACAACCTAGGGGCATTTTTTTGGGAAATAAAGAGAGCATAAAAAACCCTGAAACTCACACCCTCCACCCACTGTGGCAATTCAGCTCTGGCAATCCTTGCAGATGTCTTGGGATTTGTCAAAGTTGGAATTCTTTTTGTCACGCGACTTTCCTTTCTGCCTCTCCTGCTTCTTAAGCTCCCCTCCCTTTGCAAACAATTGGGAGTTTCTGAGGCCGCTGGCGCTGCAAGCCGCTCCTTTGTTGGTGCCCAGCGGATAAGTAAATTAAATAAAAACGGCTGGAAAGGAAGAAAAAGAGGAGGGAGGGAGGGAGGGAGGCCACTCTCCACTCTGAGAGCTTCCAGGCCCTTTTCTCCGTTGCCCCAACATGTAACAGCTGCTGGCCTCAAGGCACATCGGAGCTCCCCATCCCCCCCACCCCCACTGCTTCGCCATGCCCAGAAAGAGCTCCCCCCCCCTGCCAGGCCCAGAAGAGCATGCTCTCTCTGCGAATGTAGGGCCTGCAACCCTTCATCCATTGGGGGAAAGGCAGGAGGCCTCGGGAGGAAACCCAGCAACCCCAATTCTAACAAAGGAGATGATTTGTAGCTCAGGGCTGAAATGAGGCATCCTTGGTGCTCTCTGAGCTTGGTGGCTTTCTTGCAGACGTTTCATGACCTGACAAGGTAACATCATCAGTGCTGAAGATGAACCAGTACTGAGGATGTTACCCAGTTTGAGTAATGAAAGAAAACCACCAAGCTCAGAGAGCCCCAGGGATCCCAGCACCAATTCCGAAATGGCAGAGGAGAATTGAAAGGGTTGAGGAGGGTTTGGAGGTCTTCTAGTCCAACCCTCTCCTGCTCAATGCCATTCCAGACAAAGGGCTGGCCAGTCTCCTATTGAAAACCTTCAGTGATTGAGCACCCATATTACATCCAGCCTGTTTGGGCCAGAGCACTCAGGAAACTTTTTTCCCTTTCTTTTATCCTGGCATGGAATTCGGAAAGAAATTTGGATTCAGCTCTGGAGCTTCTGCAGGAAATCATAGTTTCTTGCCTACCCAAGAACTACAGACCTGAGATCCCTGGGAAGATGCAACCCATTAATTTAACTGCACATTCTATTTCTATTTTCTATAAAAAGGCTCCAAAGTGCTAATAAAAAGGCCTCATAAGAAATAAACTGCAAAGGAAGGTCGGGAGGTAAATAGAGAGTTCCAGGAAGCGAGAAAGTCATTTCTTTCGAACCTGCTGGCACCACAGATGATCCTCAGGAAAGTCCATGCACGACTTGGACCTTCTCCTGCCATACACACCATCTGGGAATAGCCATTTGTGTGTGCACACACTTTTAATAAATTATTACGGTATTGTTTACTTGCAATTCTTAGTGCCATGCACATTAAAGGGAGGAACGGGAGAGAGGGAGGAACGAACGTGATGCTGGCTTGGGGGTCAGCCAGATTTCCCAACTGTTCCTCCCCCTCCACATTCCAGGGTCTTGATCTGACTCAGAAGGTTTCTCAAATTAATTCCAGATTTAAAGGCAAGAGTGCTTTGCTGCCGCTTTCCATTCCTTTGCACGGAAGAGAAAACTGTAGCAGGAAGAGTGAAAGCTGCTAGAATTCCAGGGGAAATCCGATGACAAAAATTTCAGGCTCAAGATTCAAGCAGAGCATTAAGTCTGGTGTCCTTCATCAATGCTGTTGGATCTTCTAATTTTATATTTTTTGTTAACACCTTTGTCTGCTGATTATTAACCTTGAAACCTGCTATTCTTCTGATTTGCCCATTAATCTTTCAATTCCCTTTAAAGCAGAATATCCCAGCCTTGGCCCCTTGAAGATGTGTAAACTTCAATTCCCAGAATTCCCCAGCCAGAACAGGATTTTCCAAACCCAGCACTGTCATCTGCAGAAGTCCTTAACTTATTATAAATTTACTCCACATAAACTGTCTCAGTTCCTCTGTAATTCTCAGCAATATTTGTTTTCTTAGATATTCATCTGTTTTTCTCTAGACAGAGGTCATTTCCTTTATACAAATTGGAATATCAATAAAATGTTTTTTCTATGTCTGCATTTTGCTGGAGAGACTGGCTAAGCCAGGGGAAGAAGTCAAGTGGGGAATTAGCTTGGAATCATTACGAAGGCGCAAGAGAGCAAGTCCCACCCTCTCTGAGTATCTTGCACCTTATCTAGTCTGGCCCAGATGCAAACTACCAATCTGGGAAGATTCCTGTGAAATAGGCATAGAACAATAAAGTAGCTAGTTTGAACTCTACACACGTGAAACTGGTTGTTTGCGCCTAACATGCCATTAGTATAATATAGTATCTCCCTCTTGTAACTTCATTATTATTTTATTTTATTTTATTGTAATTTATATGCTAGCCACTTCCCTGGTTTATTTACAAAATCAAACTTTTTTGTTTTACATAATTGATTATTTCCATTTCTCTTAAAAGTTAAAAGTTAATTTGTTAAGAAATATTTATCTTCTCTGGAAGCATCTTTAATTTTTCTTCTTTTCTCTTGATCTCTCAAAATTGCTTTGTGTCTTTTCTTGACTCTTCTAAGTTCACTATTATGTTGTATAATAATATCTAACAAAAGCTTTTCTTACATCCCAAACCATTCTTAAATGTGCCTTTACCTTATTTATCTTCAAAAATTACAATACACTATTGTCTCTTTTTCTAGCAACTTTTAGTTTCCATCTAAATGAATCAGATTTCCTTTTATGAACCAAAGTTACAAGACTATGATCCAAAATCATCTTGGATAATATATCTACCTTAGAAAGCTTAGTAGCCAAGGCCTTTGAAATTCAAATCAGGTCTGTTTTTGAAAGGGACCTCTGTCTTTCAGAAAAGGAGGTATATTTTTTTGAATTGCCATTTTTTTATCTCCATGTATCAACCGGTTCTAAATTGCCCACCAAATCAAAGACTTTTTTTAAAAAACTGCCTTGGGTGATTTTAATATTTTTCTCAGAAGTTCTGTTCAGTTGTGGGGAGATCACTCCACTCCATCAAATGCCAATTTTCGTGAGCAAAACCCATTAAACATAAGACATTTATAAAACAATATTTTGTTCTTATTTGGGGCATAAATTCAGTATCAAAGTCTTAGGCAAGTTAACTATCGAACATCCAAATTGTGTCACCAAGAAAGTGATGTGACAGTCATAACTTTGAGGATAGGTCACCATTGTAACTCCACTGTTAAAGAATAGCCGTACGTTGAGGACAGTCTTCTATTCAAATTTACAATCCCTGGATTTTTGTTGTTCTTGGGAGTTATGGATAGTCAGCTAGAAAAGATTTGTGGAAGATTGTTTCTGTACACAGTAAACAAGATTATTGTTTGCACAAAAATGGAAAGATGCAGCATGACCCACAATGAAGGGATGGTTGAGGAAGACTATGGGACTTGCCGAGATGGCTAAATTGACTTCTTTTATCAGAGAAAAGACAATATTTATGTTTATTGCTGATTAGCAACCCCTTATAGACTTTTAGCAAGAAACAGAAAAAAATGAAATTATGATTTTATGGTTCTGATGACTAGACAGGCTAAATTAGAAAAGAGGTATGTTATAACCATAGAGTAAGTGGTAAATATTTCATTGTAATTATAACTGCAGTGAAGAAGATTGGAAACTATTTCTTGGTATTTTTTCGTTTGTTGCATTTTTAGTTTTCTCTTTGATTTCTTTCCATTTCTTTTTCTTACTTTATGTTAGTTGGTCTTAGTTTTTAATCTTCCTTTTGGGGGAAAAAATAATTAAAGTTATAGGAAAGATTCCGGTCATCCAAGAAAAAAAGAGGGAAAGAAACAAGGGGAAAGGGGAAAAAGGAAAGCAGAAATTCTGCCCTGGCGTGGATCCATCCGCTCAGCCTCTCTCGGCTTTCGTCCGCACGGATGTGGCTGGCTGAGCGCATTGTCCCAAGAGGGAACACCATGCCCTGCAGGGGGGGCTTTGAGGAGCCCCAGAACAGAGACAGAAAGTTCCTTGTAGCGGTGCAGGGAAACTAGGTTATCCCAGGCAGATTTCACAGTCTGCTGTTTGCCGTTGGCTGAGAAACGGTGTCTGCACAAAGGCAGCCATTGTTGCCTCTTGGAACGTTGCCACCACAGAGGGAATTAAAGCCCCCGTTACCTCTCTGGCTAGCGAACACCATCCCTTCTTCAAAGCTTCGGCCTTCCGGCTTTCCAGGATCCTGGAGATGTTTTGCAAACACCAGCCCTCCAGGCAACTTGGCTGACAGGACCTGGATTCACACAACACGCTGGTCTCCAAAACCTGGCTTTACTGAAACAGGCAGTCCTCAATTTACAACAGTTCATTTAGTGATTGTTCCAAGTTACAGCAGTACTGAAAAAAGTGACTTGTGATTGTTTTTCACACTTTTTTCATGTGATCTCCTTTTGGAACCTCCTGACAAGCAAAGTCAATGGGGGAGCCACATTTGCTCAACACAACCGTATTACTAACTTAACAACTGCAGTGGTGATTCATTTAACAAGTGTGGCAAGAAAGGTTGTAAAATGGGGCAAAACTCACTTAACACCTGTCCCGCTTAGCAATTGGGCCTCAACTGTGGCCGTAAGTCAAGGACTACCTGTAGTTGTATTCACATTAAGACCCCAAACCTGGTTTAATGAAAGTCATTGTCTTGCATTAAGACCCCCAAGCCAAGTTAGTGAAACACAATCCTCATATTCACATTCCTCGCTGCCTGCCAAGACATCACACCTTTTCCGATTTAGGGTCTTAACGGTTCATGCAAGACCTCAAATAACCCAAACCCATTTTAGCAGAGCTTCTCAGCCTTGGCCTCTCTAAGCCGTGGGGACTTCAACTCCCAGAATTCCCCCAGCCAGCATGCTGGGAAATACACCCCCTCTAAACCTCACTTCTATTTAGGGCTGCTAATTATAGTTTAAACCCCAAAATAACTTAGCCTTTTATTTTTTTCAAAGAAGCATTCATCGAATAAAATAGCAGCGTCTGCAAAAAGGTAACCCAGCCGGGCCTTTGAGAGCTCTTCCTCCAGAGCCGTGCCCCCATTTCTTCCCAGCTGCAGCACAAATACGTGTCTTCCCACCCCCCACCGGCCAGCCGCCCCCCAGCCCCCAGGCCACTGCTGCCTCCCATCTCAGCCCCTGAAGGAGACAGGCTGAAGCCATCCTGAACAGGTGAGGAAGTTGGGGCCAGAATTTCTGTTGGTAAGTAAGGTGGTTGTTAAGTGAGTCAGGCCTGATTTTATGAGTTATTGCCACCGTTGTTAAGTGAATCGTTTGGATGTTAAGCAATACCAGATTGCAACATTCCCAGGTGGGCAGGTCACAAATGGCGATCCCATGGCTGCAGGACGCTGCAACCATCATAAATATTGTGAATTTTGATCACGTGACTGTGAGGACGCTGCAGTGGTTGTAAGTCTGAGGACTGGTCATAAGTCACCTTTTCCAGTACTACTGTAACTTTGAACAGCAGAGTTTTAACTAGCAGGGGCCAATCCTAGCAAAACTGATTTAGAAAGAGAGCAAAGGACAAAATTGTGTGGAACAAGAATAAATATGTCTGGCATTTAAGCCAAATCTGCAAAGGTTATTTGAAAACTCTGAGTATTGCAGTGAAAATAGCAAAGCGCTGAGTGACATTTTGCAGACTCACAACTGCTGACATTCTGTGATGGGATTTGTAGTCCAGCCCTTCTAGGACATGCCTGGCTGGGAAAGGCTGCTATCGTGGAGAGCCTTGTGTCTCTGACATTTTGACATATGTGCTGTTTGTAACACACATAAATTATATATAATATATGGCCATCGTGGTAGAAAGAAAATCTCATGATAGATGCATGTCGAGAGAGTGCGAAGGGAGGAGATCCCAGCACAAGAGACAGAGAAGAATTCAGTCAGGGCTGCAAAATGAAATTGAGGAAGCAAAGGCTGTTGCCCCTTCTGGCACACACAACAGCAAAGGAAAGGGGAAGCCTGGGGCGGGGGGGGGGGGGGGGGGCTGCTGACCGACTTCATTTCTCCAGCCCTCCCATGTCAATGCATGGAGCAGCACCGGGCAGTCCCTAATCAGAGGCAGCCAAAGGGGGACCAGCAGTAGCTCCATGAAGGATGGATGCAAGTGACCCTCACGGACACTTTTCTCTCTCTCTCTCTCCCTCCTTCCTTCCTTCATCCCTTCCTCCCTCCTTTCCTCCTTATTCCCTCATCCCTTCCTTCTCTTTCTCCTTCCTTCCTTCCTTTTGTCCTTCCCTCTCTCCTTTCCATTCTTCCTTTCTTCCTCCTTCTCCTTCCTTCCTCTCTTCCCTTCTTTCCTCTTCTTTCCTTCCTTCCTTTCTCCTTCCTTCCTACCTTCCTTCTATTTCTCCTTTCTTCCTCCTTCCCTTAATCATCTGACTACTTGGGCTGAAGATATTGACCACTTGACCCCAGACCCCATCTTATTGGCCACTTCAGCCTGCCTCTAGGCCAGCCCCCTCCCCTGCCTCCTTGACCCCTCTCCCACCTAAAACACAGTGGCTTCTCAATACATCAAGGTAGCCCTTCCCTGCCTGCTCCCCCCCCCCCCCCCCCCCAGCTGGATTCCTCCATTCCCAACCGGACAAAGCTTCTGGCTGAGCCAGGACATGCCCCTTCCCCACAACCCTCCCCCCTCCGGCTCTCAGAGAGGAGGGGGCTGCTGAGATCAGACAGAAGACCAACTTGTAAGCCGCCCTGAGTCTCCGGAGAAGGGCGGCATATAAATCAAAAACAAAAAACAAAAACAAAAAACTACCTGTCACTGAATTTAGGGAGAGGCGCCTGTTGCATCGCTGCATTTCATTAACCATCTCTGTCCTGCCACACACACACACACACATACAATGACCTACCCCACCCCATGGATTTTTATATCAAATTTAGTGGCTCCTCACCTCTTCCTTT